CGAGAACATGATATAAATTATAAAAACCTGTAACTGCAGAGCAAAGAACGAATGTATATTAAATGACAATTGCTTGCAGATCAATATAGCAAGGCACATTAAAATCAATAGTTAACGAAGAAAGAATATACATAAGAGTAACTGAAAGACCCCGAAAATGGAGAAAGTACACACACGAAACATCTTTAACAAATAATAAATAGGTGTACAACATGTTTTCTAAATATATATGGAACATTTAAAACAAACGCCAAATTAGATAAAAATAATGAAATATGGAAAACAGCACTAGCCTACAACTATAAACGCAAAACCTCTGTCCGGGGGAGAGAATTTCTATAATCACCTTCCCTGACGATCAGAAATTAATAAATAAGCGTGCAGAACTTACTACCTTTCTTAAAACCGAAATCTAAAAATGAATACCTTGTAAAACATTATGAAAATACAAATATATGCTCTTTATAAAACGCAGATAATATAACATATTTTAACAAAGCCAATATTTAAAAAAATAAGAAAACCAAACTCAGAAAAAAAGGAATAAAATATCTAAATAAATAATTAAACAAGTTAATTATACAATAAACAAATGAACTACGAAACCAACCATGAGCAAAAGTAATTGTGATAATAATAATAATAATCACAACAAAAAATTAATCAATTAATAATAAATAATAAGTAAGAATTTAACATCACTATAAAATAGCCACAAATAACTGCATTTGGATCCATAATTGTTCCTACTCAGTAGCCTCTAGAATAATTTGGAATAGAACTGTTACCGCCTGCCCAATAAATAAATAGACCTCGGTACCCATGATGCATCATTGATCAGCATATATAAATAGTCCAGCACAATGACCTGAAGACTGCGTTCCAGCTTGAAACAGATTGTTGCCGCTCAATATTGACCTCAGGGTCCACTTTATATATATTTAAAGACACACACACACACACACACACACACACACACACACACAGTCATATATTATGAAAGTCCGACAATTATTTTTTAAGGCATTTTTTATGTTAATACATTCTTTTTATAGATACAAATATTTAAGTAAAAGCTCTGCTTATAATAAACAGTATTAAACAATATTTACCGGCCTGAATGTCCGAGAAATTTTCAAAGAAAATATTTGTCCTCCGACCGGAATCGAACATGTATCCTATACGGAATCGTTAAATAGCCTGATGTGCCTTAACCGATTGGGCCACAGAGGAGCGTTCGGCTCTGTAATAATAAATATATTGGGGTCTTTCTGTTGATCAGTTTTAATATTTTATATTGCAAGGATCCACTTGGATTATATACCAACGAATTTATTATCTTTACTATATATATATATATATATATATATATTAATGCATGTTTCATTAAAGAATATAGACAAACTTTGTCTTTTTATTTTAAGTAAGTTCCTTTCATATTGTTTAATAAGCTTAATCATATTATCATTGAAAGAAGAAAGGAAAACACTATATTGATACCTGTTTAAATCCAATCCTTGTTGAAAACACAACTATACTGTAACATGAAAACAATAAACAAAAACTAAAAATTCTTGAAGCTATATACATAAAAAGTGCCTATAATTTATAACAGAAGCCATTGTTTTATACCAACGGCTTCCCACACCTAATACTTCTCGTTTTCACTCTCGCGTGGTCATGTGTAACGTCACGAGCTGCGACGCGATTTTCGCTTCCGCGTCTCGTATATACGAGTTTGTCGTTTCTTGAAATTTTCATGCAACAAGGGCGGACTATCATTGTTGTTTCGTCTGTGTGTTGTTTGATTTATTGAAATTGTCATCTTTGATAATGGCTGATGTAAGCCGAAAGCTTAGACTGGATTTAAACATATGGTGTTTTCCTTTCGTCTTTCAACGATAATGTGATTAAGCTTATCAGACAATATGAAAAGAACTTACTTAAAATAAATAGACAAAACTTGTCTATATTATTTAATGAAACATGCATTAATGAAAAATTTCTACCAAGATATACGCAATATATATATATATATATGAATTAACGATATACACATTTTTATATATCAAGAAGAATTTTAGATGAAAGATATATATGAAAGTGTGGTAAAAAGACCCCACGCGAAGCACCCCGGCCCCATCGGAGCCGCTCGGACTAATTTATGTTTACGTTCATGCGACTACACATGCATACGAATGACGCTGGACATTTGTAATTTAAAGATAATATATTTTTTATTTTTTATTTTTCTTACATGCCTTTTGTGCATAAAATCTAGCCGATTTCATTTCGAGGATCCTCTTTGTGCGTCACCTCTGATAATGAATGGCGAAACGTTGCAAGAACCCGGATGCAAATCCACTGTGGTTGATCTCACGATCAAAGAAACCTCTAAACATCTCCGTCTCAGAGAATTCTTTTCTCTTTCAACCAGAAAAGCAATATTTTTTAAACCGAAATTGTGGCCAGTCTCATTACAGTGAACAACTAATGCATTTAATGTGTTGTTCTGTAAAAGTTCCCTTTTATGTTCATATAATCATTTATTGAAATCGGTCATTCTGTTCAAAGCATATATAATAAAAACTATCCGAGTGGGGTCTTGGGGGATGAGGCGTGTCGTGCGGGAGGTTATTCCATTTTGTCATATATATATATATATATATATATATATATATATATATATATATATGCGTCTGTATATGTGCGTGCGATAAATATATATATATATTCAAGGTATGTAATAGCTATGAGATAAAGTGCTCAATATCAGAGATAGAGCGTATATAAATATAAAAGTGAACATCACCAATGGCGATAATCTTTTTTTATGCTTAAATGCAATCCAATCTTCATGTCATCCAGTTTATATATATATATATATATATATATATATATATATATATATATATATAAAGAAATAAACTCTTAGGGTGTGCTATCTGGGATAAAAGTGCTCAATATCAGAAATAGAGCGTGTGTAAATATAAAAGTGAACATTAAAGTCAACACTCAGAGGCGACAGTCTGTTTCATGACTGACGCAATCGTCAGGACACGAGTGTTGTTTTTTTCCTCGGCTATTTATATATATGGGTCAGTGGTGCATTTTAGGCGGTTTTGCCGGAAGTTGTTTGCGTCAAGCATGAAACAGCCTGTCACCTCTAAGTGTTGACTTCAGTGTTCTCATATATATATATATATATATATATATATATATATATATATATATATATATATATAGTTTATGCAAACTTAGGTAATCCATATGGGTAGACCTGAGGAGGATATATATGTGGGGGGGTGAGTGTGAGTGTGTGTGTGTGTGTGGGTGTGTATGTAGATAGATAGATATTACCCCGAAAACATGTAAAAAATAGGAATTATCTGATTCAGTAAAAACTCCTTATTAAGTCAAAGAAATGAATTAACAGAAAATTGTAAACATAGTTTACCTTTTACCTTACAATTTAGTTAAACATTGGAGTTTGATTATGCTTTTTCTTATATTTTAAATGTACTACATTGCACTATATATGGCTTATCTTTCTATTTATAACATTAATTTGGATTTAATATAATTTTGTATTAATCTCCTGGTAGTATTAATAACATCTTGTACGGATGTATTAGTATTTGATATGTACTTTTGACATTTTACATTGGTTGGTTATAGCTACTAACTTCTTATATGAAGAATCTTTAGTCAACATGTGCTTATTAATTTACCAAATAATTCTATAAATTTAAATTAGTTACTGGTTTCTTAAAGAAGCCATTGATTTATCAACTACAAAATATTTTTATGTAAGAAACTCACAAAGCATATAACTTGTTTAGCATTTTGTTAAATTACCTCTCTATCCCATTTTTATTTCATAGAAAATGGCATTATCTATTATGTCTAATTTACATCTCCATTTACATCCGCTACTGTTGATGTTTACTTTAGGAAATAAATAGGACACCTAAAGAAAAATGGAAAATTATAAACAGGACTAGAACATGTAAAACTTGGGATGACCCATGCCCTTTGTGCCTCCATGAGAAATTGCACATTATTCAGCTTCTAAATAATAATAATCTATTAAACAATAGACATGAGTTAACGGTTTTCTGTCGTCATCATCAAATCTATGGTTTGAATGATTAGCTAAAAACAAGCATACAATATAATAACTTTTATAATCCATAGCCCAAATAAATAGTTTAAATACCCTACCAAAAGAAAACCCTTTATGAAGTCGTCAAAAAACAAAAGTTACGGCAGTTTTTATATGCACAAATCCCTTTCATAAAGAAATAAAATAAAAAAATAGATAAATCTTCGTAGACACGTAAACCAGACGAGGCTAAAACATCTTCCGTTTCAAATTTTAGACACTCCCACCTTACCCTGACTTGACATCGATGAAAGTAACTCTATACTGATACTTATTATTAACACTCAACACACGCCTACCCAATTTAAACAATTCGCCCTAGCTGTTACCATGGAAATTTTGATTTCAATTATTAAAACACGTAAATTTCTGAAATAAGTTATTCCAAAAAAAATTTCGCTTGAAGATAGAACAGAGCTTTCTTTAACTCAATTTAATTCAAATAATTATATTGAAGTTTTCGGCTCTTGTTTTGAAACATGAGACCTCTTATGTCGCGTGTTGGAATCATATTTTTAAATAAATAATTTATGCTCTACTTTTGTATCGAGCACTATTTTTTAAAAATAATAACTAAAATATTAAGGAGCTTTGGATTATTTACCTAACCAGTTCTTTTCTATTTTCTATATATTTTCACACACACACACACATATATATATATATATATATATATATATATATATAATAGATAGATAGATAGATAGATAGATAGATATATCCCAATACATTGATATTTAATGAAGCCAACTTGGTTTAGTGATTCTTGAACTTTATCAAATACCTCGTCTGCTGTCATATTTCGAAAGTAAATCATTCATTATTGTGACACTAATCAATTGCCACATTCTTTGTCATTTATAAGAGAGAAGGTAGGAGGATCTAAGAAGAGTGTCTGGGATATATAAATCAATACATACATAGATATGAATAGACTAACAGACATGAATAAAAAAGAGCGAGATAGAGAGATATTAATGGATTGTGATAGATAGATAGATAGATAGATAGATAGATAGATAGATAGATAGATAGATAGATAGATATGAACAGACTGGGATAGATAGATATGAACAGACTGAGATAGATAGATAGATAGATAGATAGATAGATAGATATGAACAGACTGAAATAGATAGATAGATAGATAGATAGATAGACAGATAGATATGAACAGACTGAGAAGATAGATATGAACCGACTGAGATAAATAGATAGATAGATAATGAATAGGCTGATATATAGATTTATTTAAACAAACAAAGCTACGTAAATAGATATGACCTGTTTGACATAGACAGTTGATTTATGTATACATACTGAAATAGATAGATATGAACATTCTCAGACAGATAGATAGCTAGATAGATAGATACGAACATTCTGAGATAGATAGATAGATAGATAGATAGATAGATAGATAGATAGATATGAACATCCTGAGATAGATAGATAGATAGATAGATAGATAGATAGATAGATAGATAGATAGATAGATAGATATGAACATCCTGAGATAGATAGATAGATAGATAGATAGATAGATAGATAGATAGATAGATAGATAGAATGAACGAGAGAGAAATAGACCTAAATAGGGATAGAGAGATAGCGAGATAGATGTTAATGTCGGTAGATATGAACTGATTGATATCGATCGAAGTCTAACGAAGTAAACGTCGAAGACGAAATATGAAAGTCAACATTGTTGTTGCTTCATGCAACTTTCTCTTCCATTTACTGCACAAATAGCAGAGGCGACGTCAAAAATGCAACGTTTTACCGAACCTAAAAGCAAGTCAATGCGTTCAACTCGCTCGAGACCTTTCGAAAGGAAATTAAGCATCTGCCATTGAACAGATATATGAAACTTTATGAAAACAAACCCCATCCTCACTGATTGTCTTGGATCTATATTGAATACGAGAATCAATCAGTCGGGAAACCGGGCGACGTCGACGAAGCCAATACGTTTAATTTGATCACGAAATACTCTTAGATGTTTCTTAATCAACTGACTTCAAATTCACAATCATATTAATGCCGTTCGGGCCTCATTATCACTCGGAATTCTGCGGACAGATATTTTGATGGTGACACATTTGGTGATGTGTTTGTGAGCATCGGTTTATGCAAAGAAACCCAATACCAAATGCATTTGGAATTTTGTGTCCTTTTTTCAGTCTTTTGTTTTAAACCTGTCTCTATCTTTCCCTCTTCCTCACTCTCACACACTCAATATCTATCTATCAGTCGGTTCCTATCTATCTATCTATCTATCTATCTATCTATCTATCTATCTCAGCCTATACATTATCTCTTTCTCTCTTTCTCAGCCTCTTCGTATCTATCTATCTATCTATCTATCTCTGTACATTATCTCTATCGGTCTATCTACCTCAGACAATTCATATCTATCTATCTATCTATCTATCTATCTATCACAGTCTGTTTACATCTATCTATCTATCTATCTATCTATCATTTGGAATTTGGTGTCCTTTTTTCAGTCTTTTGTCTGAAAACTCTCTCTCTCTCCCTCACTCTTACACACTCAATATCTATCTATCAGTCGGTTCCTATCTATCTATCTATCTATCTATCTGTTATTTTATAATTGTTTCCACAATACCTTTGTCATTCTTGTAACTAAGAGGATTTCATGGGTGTAGAGATAGAGAAGGAGGGAGAGAGGGAGAGAGAAAGAGAGGGAGAGAGAGGGAGGGAAAGAGGGAGAGAAGAGAGGGAAAGAGAGTGAGAGAAATAGATATATATATATAGAGAGAGCAAAAACCTGAAATTCCTGTTGTCCTGTCCAGTTTCATTCATATCCATCGAGCGTAGCTTGCGACGATTTCATCTGCTTTGACAGAAAGAAATTAGCAACCGGTAACCATATTGACGAAAATCATTTAAATTCCCCGATTGTTACCCTTCGGCTAAAACTGTGTCTGTTTTTTTTGTTTTTTTTGTTTTTTTTTGTCGCTGTTGCTTGCGAATTGCTTTCAGGGAAAATGCATTTTCAAGTCAACAACGAAGAAGAAAGAATGAAACTCGAGGGAAACAATGGCAAATTCAAGTGTGAAAATCAAAATCGAACAAGACAGTCTCAAAGGTGAAGTTTAAAAAAAAAAAAAAAAGAAAAAAAAAGAAAAAAGTATAAAAATAAAATAAAGGAAAAGAAAGGCACAAAAACTGCAGAAACCTGGACAGACATGCGGTTATAGACATACGCATGTGCGCACATACATACGCACACATGCATAGACGTACGCATACACTCGGTGCGATAGGAAAATTGTCGCCATGTTTTATTTTTAATTTCGCGCATGCGCGTTGTTTGTTTTTGATTTTGTCGGCTGTAGAGTATATTAGATTCGGTTGGGCACTTCCTGAGAGAAAAAAAAAAGATCACTATGACGCAATTCACTCTGCCAGACATTTGGAAATGGCATGCTATACTGCTTGGCATTCGCACCGGAAGCTCCAATACGAACATTTCATAGAGTTTGTGATTCAATCTGAGAAGAGCGCAGAGGATTCGGAAAGAGCTGGATGAGTCTAATAGTGATTTGGAGTGATCACTAATGAAGGCGACGTTATGCCTCCATTCATCTTCCCACAAGGATCAGACTCAGACACAGAGTCCTACATCAAGTACCTTGAGGCGGTACTGTTACCCTGCGTCAAATGGGTGGCTGATGGAAAACCCTATTTCTGACAACAGGACTCTGCACCATGCCACACAAGCAGAAGAACCCAGTGATGGCTGTCAGACAAAGTCAGACAATCACTTCGACCATATAAACCCTCAAATCTGGCCACCTAAATCCTCAAACTGCAAACCCGTTGGATTATTATGTGTGGGGCCCAGTTGAGTGAGTGACCAATAAAACTCCTTGTAACACCAAAGATGAACTGAAGGCAAGGATTATAGCAGCATTCATAAAATTAAACAAGGAGACCGCCCAGAAGAGTTGCAGGAGATTCTGAAGTTGTCTGGAATGCCGATTGGTTTTTAATAAATTTGAATTTAAAGATATTTTTGCGTAATTTTGGTAAGCATATTTGTTCAAATGAGATATCAGTATTATTTTCATTTCTGCTCATTTAGACGACATATATATATATATATATATATATATATATATATATATATATATATGCACAGTTCATTGAATACGACAGACAAGGTGCTTTTATTTAATTTGTTTATACAATTTCTCATGCGATCTAATATTTTTTTTCCTTTCAGATGATAAATTATATAAAAACTGTCTGAATGTTCTTTTTATCCGAGCACTTTCGGCTATACATTCAGCCATTTTTAAGGATTACATATTTTAACTGTTAAATAAGAAATAGTTTGTTGTATGTATGTTTTATAAAATGTTTTCATTTTTCAAAACACAGTCAAGATTGTCAGGAAGGTGTAGAATGAGTCAGCATGTCAAACATGTTGTACTGAGGTCTATATAACTGACGCTACACTTTTCTGATCATAGCTCAATTAGATCTCATTTAAATATTCATGGAGACCTACTGGACACTATTCGTAACATACTTATTGACAACATTAATATAATAGCATCATCTACATGCAAAAAAAGGCTACAAATAATAGAAGCCTTATTAATAAAAACAAACAAACCAACACTTAATAATATAAACTTTGAACATGGACACAATATCTTATATATATATATATATATATATATATATATATATATATATATATATATATATGCGACACTTGGTTGTTTCCGTCGGGTGACGATCATCACATATCCCAACAGCAGCAAAGAGACGCAATCTTTTCATGGGCTTACGGCCATATCACGTTGAAACACCGGTTCTCGTACGATCACCGAAGTTAAGCAACGTCGAGCCTGGTCAGTACCGCTTGGTAGTACCAGATGCTGTAAGCTTGGATGTGTGGATGGTGTAATGGATAACGGCTCAGAATTGTTAATCGGAGAGCCGAGTTCCAAATCCAGTCGGGTTCGTTATATTCACTTCCACGTAAATAACCTTGAGAAACGTATGTAACCATTTCTTATCTACCCAGTAATGAGTTAATTAGTAGGAGTTATATCAGAGATTATTATTTCCAGAAAAATTCTTAAAATCCAAAAAAATATTATGGCTTTAAATAACCTGATAAGCCGTAAAAAATTAATCAATCATTTTAGAAGTTGCTCCAATAATGTCTTGTGTTCATGGCATCTTGCGCGACAGACATATTCCTAAAAATTGTTCTGAGTGCGCCAACCGCAGAATGGAAAATTTGTTCTGCGTGGTTATTATTTGCCTTGCTATTGGTGGCGCCTGAGCAAGCGTCTGCGATAAGGATTGGCTAACCGTCCTGTTAGCAGGCGGGTATCCTTGAATACGAGTAACCGGCTATACATATATTATTACTAACTATAGAGTTTTCTGTTTTTATATAAAGCAATAAATGCCAAGAAATATTCGCTCGACATTCAACAGGGGATACGATCTTGCAAACAATAAAGTGTGCACTGACGAATTGAAATGGTCAGTCAAATGGTCACTTTTGGTTGAGGGATGAAATCCATGGAATCGGGAAGGAAATATCAGGAATCTGTAGCGCTTATGAATGGAATATTTGTAACTGAAAGTGTCCATTCTTTCTTTTTTTTCTTTTTTATACAACGGCAGATCTTTATGTATAAAGCATGTAAAATTGCTTAAGCAATGTTTTCGGTTACGAAAGAAAACGGAGAATACACACACACGCACACATACACACGCATACACACATACACACGCACATACACACACATACATACACACATGCACGCAAATACACATATACACACGGACACACACATACATGCATACCCAAACATACAAACACATACACACGCACATATATAAATACACGCATGCATAAAGGCATACACACATGCACACATACACACTTTCACACGCACATACGCACACGCATACATACACGCACGCACGCACAAACACACATATACATACCCACACATGCACACATACAGATGCACATACGCACACACATACATACATGCATGCACAAACACATACACACACACATACATACACATAGATATTTTCTTGGAGCAGCTTTCCATGGTTTTTGGTTTATTTAAAAAAAAAACTCACAGTCAGGTTCTTTTAACTTGAGTAGATTCCATATCGTTTTCTTCCAGTTGAAAGATTTATTCATCCTATTATGCAAGTAATTCCAAATAGATGCGTTTCAGAGAAAAGAAAGAAAGAAAGAAGATGAAGGGAGAAAGAAAGTACCACAAGAAAGAAAGAAAGAAATTCGAACGAGAAAATGTGGAATAAGGAAGAAAAAAAAAAAGGTAAATAAAATAAGAAAAAAAAGAAGGTACAATGAGTATGAAAAAAAAGAAAGGATGGAATAAGAAACAAAGAGAATAAGAAAGAAAGAAAGAAAGAAAGAAAAAAAGAAAGAAAGAAAGAATATAGATATATATTCGGGATCTAAATTCACTTCCATTTCATTCCGATTGTTACACTGAATGATTACCATTCTCTCTGATGAAACCAAACGCAAACGATTCAAAAGAATAAGACAGATAACGTGAATCAAAAGAATAGTTTTATTCAAAGACAAAAAGCACAAATCGTGAGTTTACTCTTGTAACCTAGAAAGGGTTACTGAATGAGAAATAACCAAAACGGAGGTATGAAATGAAATGGTAATCTTTATAACATCAACAAAATGCAATACTCGCCAGCGGCGTGAAGTAGATAAACCACTGCTGGTGGTGGACTACTTAGACATTACATTACTCCCAATAGTGACCAACGTATTAATGATGATTGGGATATATCCATTAGTGTTCATAGGTATGGTATATAACACTATCTATCTATCTATCTATCTATCTATCTATCTATCTATCTATCTATCTCTACAATTGCAGCATCTTCAGATATTTTCTTGCTGACTGTTGCAACCTAGAAAGGGTTACTGAATAAGGAATAATCAAAACGGAGGTTGGGAATGACATGGTAATCTTTATAAAATCAACAAAATACAATACTCGCCAGCAGCGTGAAATAGGTAAACCACTGCTTATGGGGGACTACTTAGAGAGCATATTACCCCCCCCACCACCACCACCACCTCTTACTTACAATAGTGTCCAACGTATTTATAAGGATTGGGACATACCCATTAGTGTTCATAGGCATGGTATTTAACAACTCTACATACCAGTAATTGGTAGTAGCGTGTTTTTTTTCACCATTATTTTTCATTCCCTCCCCCATAATCTGCACCATGGCAAATTTTATCCATTACGCTTGTACAAGACAATTTATTGTAAGACTTCATACCGCCAAGTTCTTTTTTAATGTTTACATTATCCAATTATTTCCTTTGCAGTCATTTTCCAT